TACGAGCATATTGTAACATCTTATCCAAAGCATAATCTATATGCAGAGGCATCAGACCATCATCATTCAAACCAATGCCTGGAACACCATACGACAATGTGAACGTATTCATGTAGCCAAATTGTCTTACTTTTTCTCTGAGAAATCCAATAGACATTACATCCTTGTCTATGAACTTAACATCATATCCACCATTGATATAATCATAATTCTCAAAATTAAAATATCCATAATGTCGGAATTTAATCAGTAATATTACTCCCATCTTTATAAAATTAAACATATATTAATTAGAAACGTATTAATTTATCCAAAATCTCAACAGATTTGAAAAAAATCCCAAACTAGGTTTCACGTAGAACTCTAAATTGGTGTACATGAACATTAACTCGATGATTTCAACATCCTTGAACCCATAATCGACCTCAATTACATATGAATTTCAAAGAAAATAGCAACAATTTCAAAAAAAACTGGGTTTCACATAAAACCTTAAATTGGTTGCAAGTAAACCATGATATTATGATTTCAACACAATTATATTCATAATTTACCTTTATAATCAACTAAAGATAATAAAGACTGTAGAACAAAGTCACATGTGCTCTCCACGAGTTGAAGACTGCAACAAAAAATACAAAGTCTTACCTTTGTCTCAACGAGTTAAAGACCGCAACAATGGAGAAAACCCACCATGCCTTCTTCAGAGAGATCACATCCACGATCTCTCCCTCAGAGAGATTCTCTGCAACTGCCGATTTGAAGGTGAACTCTTCTCCTGTCCAGAAAGTTTGAGTCTTGAGAGGAGGGGGTGGGGTTCTGGCAAATCAAATGTATTTGGTAATTTAGGATTTCCTTGTTAGTTAAATTCCCGCCTTCTCTTTAAAACATAGCCATGTTAGCATCCATGTCAGCATTAATTTTATCACGTGAGCGTCATGTGAGCCACTCAGTTGTTTTTTGGCCGCCGTCGAGAAGAATGAGTCTCATTGACTAAAAGGCCGAGAAAAAAAACCTTGTTGTCGCCAGATTTTTTAAATATACCAAACTGGCAAACATGGTCGAATAAAAATACCAATATAGTAATTTAGCCCATCTAACTCTAATAAGAAGAAAGATGTGATGCAGTCGGTAGCTAGAGTAATGATAAATCCTATTAATAAGAGCATTGGAGAAAAAGATGGCCCAAACGGCCATAAAAATGAGCAAACAGGACAGTTGGATCCAAGGATGTTTACAGTTTGGAAACTACGTGATATACAATCTTATGACAAGTTCAAAAACAAAATTAAATAAAAATAACCAAGTACAGCATAAAGTTCGAAATGGCGTCAAGACTTCCGAGCGTTGAGCGTCACAAGTTCTTACCCTGAAACTAATGAGCACTCTGGTTACATTATCGAGTCATAATGCTGACCGATTGGCAGTAAAGAATAGCTGCAAGGAAACAGCAGCTTCATTATTATTCCAAAACTGCAGAGAATTAAAGAAGAAATACAAATAATAAGCAAGAAACAAAGGGGCGTATGGAAGTAAGATCGGATCACTTTCACTCCATTAATGTTTCGGCTACTGAAGTTGAAGCCTTTTTGTTGCTTCAATTTGCTTGGCAGGATTCAACCCTTTGGGACAGGCAGCGACGCAGTGGCATCGATAAAGCTTGAATTCATCATTTATAGCCTCCAGCCTTTCTTTAGTAAACTGATCCCTGCTGTCCTGAATCCACCTACAACACATGAAGCACAAGAGATAAGTTGAACTTGAAAGTTCATGGGAACAGTTTAAGTCGATGGGAACAGTAGTAGGTCAGTAGTTTTGTCCTGTGATGAAAGCGAAACATATAGCAGTAGGTCAAATGATTATAAGCATGAAAGTCTGAGAGATAATCCGATTGGGTGGAACTAGGGGCACACCCCCAACCACAATCTCAACCACACCCCCTCTCTCATTTGTTATAGTGCACCGGGCTCCATATGAGATTTTACCAATCGGATTCACTTGACCATACAGCAAATTTACAGAAAAATATAGAGTTGTCTGGCTCATATACAGTAGTAGGTCAGCAAATATAGAGTTGCATTCTGCAGCAAATGTAAAAGACTATTTGAATATGAAGAAATCCAAATGAAGACAATCAATCTTGGACTAGGCAAGTTATGCATTGCTGGCACTTGATAGCCGGCCCGTTGTTCTGTTTCTCCATTTGTAACCAACTAAGAAGAAGATTTGAAGATATCTATACAGATTTAAGAATATCCAGATGAAAAAAAAAATTGATCCCCAACAAATACTGATCTTGTTTCTCACTTTCCTCAAACTTAAGAAACTCAAATTTAAGTAAGAAACTTTGTTGCTCAATTACTTTCCTATGTTGATATTCTTTAATAAAATTAACGTCGATGTTTTCGAATTTGGGGTATTGAATTGTCAAAATAGAATTTCAGAATATTAAAGTAACAAATGAGTAAAATTCTAGGGTATTAAAGTGCAAATGATCATTTTGAGCAAACAAAAGTCCGTTTGTCCTTTCAGGCGCCATTTAGGGGGTGTTTGGCAATCTGAAAGTGAAATTAAAAATATGTAAGTTACTTTTTTTTGCAAATGACTTTTACATCCATATCAGCACGCAAGTGAAATACATTGTTTGTTTGAAAATTTTAATTATTATTGAAAGTGCAATGTGAAGATGACGTGGCAAAATAAGATTAATTAGAAAATATAATTAAAATCATTTAATTAAATTAGTTACCTTTTTGTCACTTTCATGTGACTTCACCACTTTTTTAGGGGAAGTCAAAATTGCATTAAATCTTATGTGGTAAGTTTCTTACATCTCACTTTCATAACCACTTACATGAAAACAAACATCTTAATTGTTAAATGAAAATAATTTTCTCACTTTCATCTTTCACTTGCATGCAAACAAACACCCCCTTGGTAAGGGGTTAAGAGATGAAGATTAAAGGTTTTGCATAAATTAGCTTAATCCTTTTGAAAAAAAATTAAAATTCTCATATCTGGAATCAGTTACTATATATTAATTATTAAAATTTCATTTCTTACTTTAAGAGGGAATAATAATTCTTGACCATCCTCAATGGATGGTTTGTTAGACCTACTAAATGGGAGGTTAACTAAATTTAACTCTTGTAATTAGCTCTTTGATCAAATTAAGGCTCTGTTTGGCAAAACTAGCTGAAAGCTGCGAGATTATAGCTGAAAGCTGTTAAGCTAGCTGAAAGCTGTGAAATTGTAGCTGAAAGCTGTTAGCTGTGTAGCTAGCTGATTGACTAGAGCTGTTTGGCAAAAGTAGCTGTACAACTAGCTTAAGTTTGTTAAATGACTAAAAAAGACATGCAATATTATTGATATAAAATTAGAATTATTAGGGGCAAAAACGGAAGACAAAAATTGGCAGCTCATTCCCAAAGACAAACGCTACTTGAGGTAGCTTTTCAAAAGCTACTTGCAAAAGACACAATCTCTAAAATAATCTCTTCCTATTTTTGGTCACCAAACAGCTCTACTAGCTTATTGACCAAGTCAATAAGACACAAGCTCTTAGATAAGACACTTTTTTTGGTTGCCAAACAGTGGCTAAGTCGTTTGGAGGGTTAAGAATGGATCACCCCTCTTAACCTAACCCCTTGCCAAACGGGTTCTAAGCAAATGTATTAATGAATAGCATATGTCCATCCTTAAGTTACAATCCAAAGGTTTTTCCCCTTGAAACTACCTTAATCATAGGGTAGTTATATGGAAATTACATTTCATTTTCAATTTATACATAATCCATCTTAAAAGTTAGTTTTTGTTACAATCAACCACCTCCTAGTTAAATTTTTACTAAAAACCCAAAAATAAGCTTTAAAAATTTAAGTTCAAGGTATGTGAATTATATCTTGACAAGACCTAAACACTAAAAAAAAAAATTAAAGAGTCATGTACATAGAATGTGAGTTTTTAAGGCTAAATTTAGGTTTTAAGTGAAGAAATTGACCGGAAGGTGGTTGATTGCAACAAAAACCAACTTTAAATGTTGTCTATGTATAAAATAAAAAAGAATTAATTAACCTATTTGTAAGGGTGATTTTTAGGTATGGCAGGGGGGGGGGGGGGGGGGCCACTAACTTGCAGTAAAAGAAAGATGATACAGCTTTTCATGCTTCAACCAGCAGCTATGATTCAGGTACATTGATAATCTAAACTAAATAAAAAAAAGAAAATAAAATTAGTTCGAAGTAAAATATATGAGTTCTATTTTTTTTTTTTTTTTTGAAAGCGGGTAAATTCCAATGTACAAGCAAATAGCTCAAGTATATATAAAACATCGGAGGCGGATTCTGATCTCACGTATTTTGCCAATATTTGTGAGAAATGCTGCGAATTCAACTGCTTCTCCAGCTAATATCATTGCACCAAGACCATCATTTCAGCTATAGTCTGCGTCATTGGTTGCTACTAAAAATTGCAGCAACAAGCAAAATGTCATATCCAAATACCAGAAGCAGCTTACCGCAGACAACCCTTAACAACATAACTTAAAACATGGCTGTCAAGTGCTGGCAATTATCCACCAAAGATTTTTCATACAGATCCTGTAAATTATTGCTTCGTTGTCCATACATAGTATACTATGTTTCATATTTATACATAAAAGAAGAGAAAAAGGAAAACATAAAAGAAAATGGAAGGCAGACTGATGATGGGGAAAATGAAAAGAAAAAGGGGGGGAAACAGAAGAATCACCATTCTGACTCCTGATTTGAGTTGGTATTGCCTTCAGTTCTAACCTCTTGTGGTTCGATACCGGGCACTGGAGATACTTTCCGAGATGATGCTGGGACTGCAGCTGGAGCTACAGAAGGGTTGAAATCCATTGGATGATTATATTTGCAGGAAAGACCATACTTGCAGATCCGATGTCGATTATAATGTGTACATATAGGTTGGTCCTGGGAAGAAATACACAATGGGTAAATAGAAATAAGAGGAATGTACACATGAGATGAGGCATCATAGCTTCTCATTATAATCTAAGAAATTAAATTGGGAGAACCAGAAATTTTAGTTTGGACAAAAGGGTAAATTGCAGATAACGGTTATCACCCATCAATTCATGAGAAAAAGGGGGTTATCTGAAGTTTATCTTCTCAATTTGCCAATCCAGGGGCGACAAGTCTAATGAAAGGATTGAAGGGTGATGACTACTGTGTTATGAGAGGAGTTATCTGCCGTTTAATCAAAAAGGAATAATCAAGAGTACTATTGATTAGTGAACCTAGGAAGACTGCTCAAGGCTGCAACTTTGAACTACCTGACTAGCAAGAGCTATACACGAGGAAGCAACTGGGTGCAAAAAAAGGACAGTTAATCATATTAAGGGGTTATTACAATATTAGTCCCTCAAATCTTAAAATTTTGAGATTAGTCGCCTGAATAATTGAAATTGTTAGTAGGTCCCCCAAATCATTGAAATTGCTATTGAGTCCACAAAATCTTCTAATATTTTGAAATTAGTGCCTCTGTTAAAATAACCATTCAAAACCTTAACCATCATTGGGTAAATGCTTTAACCATGGGTGATTAGTCAAGAAAAATACCCTCACCTCTAAACATACCTCCAAACAAGAGTTTTCCCGCTCTCTTATGCTTGAAAATGGGTTGTTAATTTACCAAAACATTCTATCAGAAAGCTCTAGATGCTTTAGGATAAAGATTCAAGGTTAGAGAAGAAGAACGAAGGATAATCAATGAGATTTTTTAGAGCTCACAGGAAACTAGCTGTTACAAGAATGGATTTGGTAAAGGTTTGGACCATTGGGGAAGATGAGTTCTTAATTGGGTGTAGGTCTGGATTTTAACGAAACAGGTGTGGGAGTGTAAACAGGTTTAAGTTAAATGGATCGTGGGTTTGTGTTTGAAACAAAAAGGGTACAACTGTCAATTTATACCAAATTTTTTGAAGTTGATAGAATATTCACTCCCCATTCTAACAGCAGCTATCTAGGGGGACCAGTATTGAAGTTAATGTATGTGAAAATAGCAACTTACAGGTCTAAGCGGCAGGCCAACAGGGCTGACATTGACTCCAGATGTTTTTGGAAGGCGACTCTTTGGATGGTGAAATTTGCATGCTGTTTTAAATTTGCAAGTCCCAGTTTTCATGAAAAACTGACATTCTGGCTGGCCAGGTCTCTCAGGATATTCGGCGTCTGGTGCATGTTTCGGAGCAGAACCATTTCCCTTATGCATAGTATCTCTCATGGTAGCAGCAGATGGAGGGTGTGGCATATTCATTTCAGGTGTAAACAACGGTCTTGCAGGAGCCTGAAATCTCAAAAAACAAACAGGTCAATATGGTGCATCACCAGGATTTATACAAAATTTACTAAGCAATTCTCTCTAAAAGCACACAAACAAGCAGTAAAAAAATAGATGAATTAAATTAATAGCATAAGGGAACTAATCATATGATCAGATATAATCTTTCATGAGCCACCAAGTTTGTATATAAAAGAGAAAGAAACCCAGCACAGATTGGCCCACAAGAACACATTCCAGTGGGGAGTAGTATTAGGGGCTAACCATAAATCCCTCAACCTTCTCCACATGGCATTATGATTTTAATACACATGAGCCTTCTCGTTAGATTAGCAAAAGCATTTGCAAAACCAGCTAATACCAAAAATGGCACAGATGGACATCCAGCAATACTGGAATGTTGCTTTTATTCTACAATGTCATAGACTAGATATTCACTAGAATATAAACCAAATGAAGATCGTTAAAAGATTTTGTACTGCAAGTACTATTGAAATCTTTATCGACATTGATTTCCAAGAACTATGCATAGATCTCAAGATTCATGAATGCAACGATCTGCAGTCACATCAATCGGAAAACTTTTGATTGTTCTGGCAACCTGTTCATTAACATCAGTTCAGATGCCAGTATGTACGTGGAATATTACTTAAAATCTTAAACGTCTTATCAGTTGGCTAATATATCCTGTCAGCTATCTAAATGGAATGTTTACCTAAAGTTAAAAAGGTAGACCTGCATCAGCTATAGAAATGTCTGCTTAAAAGAGGTCCGATTCTACAGGCTCAGCATCAAATAGATTCCAATATGCTCTATAAATGTCCCTTTAAAAGAGTTAGGATTTCTTTAGGCTCAGGTCTAAAACTGAAAAGGATGGTTAATACTGTTACTTTACATATAAATATTTAATAAGTACAACTACAACATAAGAAACACAATCAAACTGGCACTTGATTTTGAACTCTGTTATTCACAATTTTACATGTAAATACTTGGACGGCTAACATATTAGCCCTACAAAAAAAAATCCATAAAAGCAGTAATGTCCATAGAGATCTTATGGCACAAGTAACTGTAGAAGAATTCTATGCTTAAGAACATAAAAAGTTTATCAAACAAGTCAATTAGATGTTTAAACTTTAAACCCTTCTCCTCATGTGCACTAATAAAATTTACTGATCCTCATAGTTTTCGTGAAAATAACTAATCACATCACCAAAAGAGGAACAAAAGGGTGGAAAAAAAAGACGATAATGTTTAAATCATTACCTGATAGCTATTCCATTCTGGACTACAGAACATGTTTATGCTAAAAAAAATTTAACAAGTGTATCAAACAAGTCTGCTAGAGGTTTAAGCCATTTTCCCAAATGCGTCCTAAACATTTTGCCAATCCCCATAGTTTTCGAGAATTTAATGTAATCAATATCATCACAGGAGAAGAAACAACAGAAAAAACAATTCACATTGAAATGCTGCAACAATGTTTTGAACATTACCGGATAACTATTCCATTCTGGATTTGGATGGAGCCCTTGAGGAGGTAAATAAAATCCTGTAACATAAGGTGGCGGTGTATAAGGTACTTGGTCATTTGGATTCTGCTGAGCTGGCCATGATGTCATAGGCGGTTGTGCTGGTGGAGCATGTGGTTGAGGAAGGGTACCATTTTGATATCCTGAAGAAGGATCTTGGCCACCTACAGCAGTTGGATCTGGATGATGAAACCTACAATTGGTTGAATATTTGCAACTTCCAGTACTCATGTAATATGTGCACTCCTTCTCTCCCTGATAAGGAATTTGAAATCCATAAGGCCAAGATACATGGCTACAGAATTTTGGGTACTGTTCTTGACGTACACAACAAGAATCAAGAAAACATCACAATGATAGATGGCTACAGACTTTTGGGTACTTTTCTTGACATATACAACAAGAATCAAGAAAACATAATCACAATGATAGACTCACCGGCCGCATTGGAAGGCCCAAAAAGTTCAGCGCTGCTGGTGGTGCTGGAAATTCATTTTTTTCATTATGATTATATTTACAGGCATTCCCATACTTGCAACCTCCAGGTGATGAGTAATACTGCAAAACAGTTTCTGTTTTCAGTAAAACCAGCATTGGAAGATGAAAATCAAAAGAAAATATCAAGCAGGACAAGCACATTTGATGCTTTTAGCATAAATGACTACAGGTAATCAGATATATATCGAAAGAAGTACTTGTAGCAGAATTTTCAGATGATTACTAAGCCATGCACTTGAAGTTAGTCCAATCATTTGACCGATAATAAAATCCAATTGGCCTATTTGTCCAAGAAGTAAGACCACAAAAATTTGTGAAAATGGAAAATATTTACAAAATAATTCACCTAAACCAAGACCTTGATGCAAACTGATGATTTACACATGTGCAGACAGAAATGACAACCACAAATTTATCACAGCATTATTTCGTAGGGCCCTGCATCTAGTCCTAGAGAAATTGCATATACAACTTAGTTATACTACCAAATTTCACACACCCGAGGAAATTATATAAGGTTGAACAATCAGCAACATAGCATAGGCAGGAGCATAAATTTTACCAATCTTTATTTAAAACAGTGAACAGGGGGAATGCATTACGAGATGTGCACAGTTCCTGAAGTATAATTGTGTAAAAGCCCAATCATTCTGAGATGAAAGAATTTTCAGACAAACCCTTTCCCTTCAAATTCTATGAAAATAAAACCAAATTGAGGAAATTCTCATTCGATCTGCATCATTTAGTTAGTGTTTGGATGGGGGACTAAGGGTGCAAGTTATGGGTTTGAAACCCAATGAGAGTGGGGAATCAGATTTCAGTCTTTTGTTGTTTGAAAGGTGAAATGTACATTTAGAATTAACCAAAATTATGTAGAATTTGGCCTAAACTCTCAGGCACAAATAATTCCACCTTAGGGTAGGAGTCACTTGTGCTAAAACAAGAGTAGATTTTTGATGGTCCTAGGTAACATCCATGTAATCAGTGTATTATTATCTCCACCAAATTTATGTAATTTTGGAAGGAATAACAGGAATCAGAGTAATCATTGTATTCTTATCCCCACCAAATTTTTGTATATTCTGGAAGGAATTACAGGAGTCAGGCCTCAACTTTAGCTGACTCCTCTGTAAGCATAGCCCGAGAGTGTCTAAGAACTAAAGTTCAAATAAATTTGACTTTCCTTTGCCATTTATCAAGTAACATAAGATACATGGCTAAAAATAACAAAAACTTATCACGTTCAAGTGGATCCACATTTTTCAGTGTATGATAGAAACTAGGAATGCAAACTGTCAGATAACGGATATAGGAACTGCATTTATAGTGCCTTCATATCCATTTTTAATCACGAACCCACATACTAAATTCCTAAGCAAAATGAGATAAAAAGATTTACAAGTAACATGTTGACCTACCTCTACCTTTACTTCCGTTTCTCATAGGATTCGACCATTTCCCTTAGCAGCCAAAGTTTAAAAAAGAATCAAAACCAGGACTTTCACATAAACATGACACATGAGAAGCTTGTCATTTCATAATAAGAATTATAATAAAATAATGTAAAATAAAAGCAACCTGTAAGAATGTGCTCCAAAATGGCTATGGCATAGCAATATCTAGAAATACATAGATAGCACTTCAATTAAAAACAGTTGAGAGGGGAATGCAGACCTTGCAACTGATTTGTCCATTACTATCTGGAAAAGTTCCCCCTTTCTTTTCATTGTGAGTCTTCTGTAAGTAATTTAACATTAAACATCAAGAACAGTACGAATGAAACCATTATAGGGTTTATCAATTAACAACAGATGTAAACAACAGATGTATATAATAATGACATGCTCTGAAAACAAGTAGAATTGAATGCAACATTAAAAAAACAATAGAAAGAAATACAGCTAAGTTAGTCAAAAGTTAGGTATATTCCAGAAGTGCTTTGACAAAGAAGCCCCAAAGTTCACCCCCTCTCTTCTAAGAAGACCCCAACTTTCTTTTCTGAGAAGAAAATTCCTTTTTTAACAAGAAGATTTGGGGACTTCTCAGAATAGGAGTAGACTTCGGTGCTTCATTTCAAAAAAAAAAAAAAAAGAAAGAAAGAAAGAAAAAAGTTGAGGGCTGCCTAGAAGAGGGGTAAAATTTAGGGCTTCATTGTTAAATAAAAAATAAAAAAAGTTGTGGGCGTGTTAGAAAAGCAGGGTAAACTTGGGGGCATTTTATACTATCTTCTCACATGTTGCATGCATTCCTATATCATGTCAATTGCCAAACATTAGTTATATTTAGATTGGAAAAAAAGTGATTAATATTTTAAAAAAATACAATTCATGTGGTCATGTATGCGGTGGAAAACTGAAGCCATATACTCGAATTAGGCACCTGTGTGAAAAAGATTACCAGCGGCCACATAAAAGATAATGCAGCCATATATCCATGCAGTCGAATAGGCACATGTGTAAAAAGTTCAATGGTTGAAAGGTCTGAATTTTGAGTTGATACGTGACTTGTTAGTTAAAGTGCTTTGTATACTTATCACCTCATTCTACTTTCTTCTTCTGTCTTCCCATTCTCTTTCCTCGATAAGAGTTTGGTTAATTTCTATCCTTCGCATCTTGGATCTATTTGTTGTATGTTGAGTATATAGTGTACCATACACGACAGTATTCTGTGTTTATGAACAATTAGACATCACGAATATCAGCATCAATATAAATAAGTAGTGTTATTAGCCTAAAATCCTATATAGATTTTTTGCTAATGGATAGTGGTTTATGAATATGATCATGTAATGTTACAAGATTCAAAATTTTCTTTTTTCTCTGGTTAGTTCAATTTCACTTGATTAGTAGCTTGCTCGCTTAGATGCTGAAGTTATAGTACAATTACCTTAGAACCTGATTAATACTTTCCTTTCTAGTTGCTGATTAGATTTAGGTAGACACTTACTATTGTTTCATTTACTTCAAGAGATCTTCAGTAGCCATTTCTCACTCAGGGGGGGTTATTCATTGGTGTAAAAAGTGGGATAATGGGGTAATTTTTGGAACACCACTTTTTGGTGTTAGGGGGGGTTATTCATTGGTGTAAAAAGTGGGATAATGGGGTAATTTTTGGAACACCACTTTTTGGTGTTATTCATTGGTGTAATTGGAACTGGTTGGAACACCACTTTTTGGTGTTATTCATTGGTGTAATTGGAACTGGGGTAAACTCTTTGGTGTTATTGATTTGTTGGTGTAATTGGGGAACAAAAACTCCATTACCCCTAAAATTATCCCACCTATATAAGCTTGACTCAGCCCCCAGCCCAAAATTTACCCACTTTCGCCTCCTGGAACAAAAGAGGGGATCGATTACTCCACTTCCGATCTCGAGCCCGAGCGAGATCACGATCGCCGTCTTCGTTCTCGAGGGCGTTCACCCGTTCCTCCGTCATCGTTCTCGAGCCTGAGCCAGCTCCGCTGTCGCCGTCCTCGAGGTCGCTCGCGCCGTTCTCGAGCTCGTTCGCCCGAGCCGCCGTCGCCGTTCTCGAGCGCCGGATCTGCTGTTGAGAGCGAACTAGCTTGAGCTCTACTGGTCATGTCGCAACTCTCAACTCTCCGCCCTCGTTCGTCATCTCCTCCTCAGTTTGATGCTCTTCAACGCCCTCGGCGTCTTTCCTGCTAAGGATCAGTGCAGGTTGATTCTAATTTCCCTTTTTTCACAATTCTGTTCAAATTAGGGTTTTATTTTTGTTTGCTGAGATCGATGTTCTCACAGTCGCTGTGGATTATGTGCTCATGTCAAGAATGCTTGTGCTTTCTTGGGAGATGGCATGTCCAGAATCGAGCTGACATTTTTCTTTTGATAATTGAAAATTTTAGTTTTTAATTTGTCTTTATTATTTTTCATATTAGTTATTATTGTTATAAATTGATAATATTAGGAATTGGAGCCGAGAGTACATGGAAGGGGAAGGGAAGCAAATTCTGATGAGATGTACTCCGGTGTGCATCAAGAGTTCGTTGTCACAATAATTTGATATAGCGCATTACATGATCATAATTATAAAAAGATGTCATACTAAATTTGTCCCACTCAAATTGTCCTATTACCCCATTTTACCCCACTTTATCCCACTCAATTATCCCATTGGGTAAAATTACCCCATTGGAACAATTTACCCCAAATTACACCAAATTACACCAACGAATAACCCCCCCTCACATTTAACTGTAAATAGTTATATCTTCCTAAAGTTCCCACCATATTAATTCCATATTTTCAGCCTTTTTTTTAATGTTCCCTTCCAAAGTGCTGGTATCTAGTATTATATTTCTATTTCTACTTCTCTCTTTCATCAGGTCAAAGGTAATTGTCTATCATCTCCAGTCCACCAATGCAACCTTGGGCAGTCAGGTAATTCAGCAAGCTTGATTCATTAGTTTTCTTTTTACTAGTTTACTTCTCTGTTCCTGTTTCCATCCAATGAACAGCACATCAGCTCTTGAAAACAAAAGCTAGTAGATCAAAGATTGATTCGTCATGTTTCCTTTTCTTTCTTGCTTATCCATCTTCTTGTCTATGCCTTCTCCCCATCCAAGCCCATGCCCCCAACAGCACTCCAACTGAGGGCGGCAGATCAACTATACAGAATACTTACAGTTCCTAAAATAAAATTCATGCAACTTATAGAGGAGATGAGGCAGGAAAAGAAATTCCCTAGATCTCAGCTTAATGCTAGGTTTGAAGGGTCATGAATAATTTTGAAAGCGAAGTCAGGAAGCAATTCAAATCACACGATTTCAACCCATGCATCATATTCCTTTTGCAGATTTACGAATAGGATGTGATTGTGCATAAAAAATAATATGTGCAAAAGTGCAGGTAAATTGGTACACTCAAAAGGATGACATATAAGTAAATACCGGGCACGTATGTGGAAAAAATAAATAAATTTCTGATCGGTTTTCAGAATGCATATGACAGTCTATGTTCCAATACATGGTTCTTTGGGTAGTGATGATCTGCTTGTGCCAAGGCTTCAGATGTAGATGATGCTTGATGTGATTTATCGAACAATTTCTGAATGACAAGGACTACAAGATTGCTGTCGGCAGGTGTGGGAGGAGATGACATTGCATGCATGAATGCAATTGAATATGTATGTGTACAAATTGAATGTCCATATATGCAATATGAACAATGGATGAATATATGCGCAAATTAAATATGTGCAGGTGTGCAATGCATTCTCACAGGACTGCTATCAGTATGTTGACTGAATTATGTGTTTGCTTAGTCATTATGGTGTTTCTTTGTGTCAATCATATGCTTAGTGTTAACGAACTGCAAAGTGGATAATGCCCTTTTATGTGTTTGCATTAATGACGATGGTGTTGATATCTTGCTGTGCAGGTCATGTGTTATTTGACTGGGTGAGGGGACTGATTGTTGCCATGGTGACATTGTTGCAAGAATATTGTAGAACCAAGTAAATTAGAAGTGTTAATAGACATTAGTAAGACATTTCAATAATAAGAACCTCAACCATCATCGGGCAAATTACATATTATCATACAAGAAATACAATCATATCAGTGTTATAAAAATCGGCAAAAGACCCCACTTAAGCAGCCACTTAAGCATTTTGAGTAGGGCGCAAATGGTTTCGGATACGGCTCGGATATGATACTTATCATATCCATACCCACTTATCAATCACATATACAGATATATCCAACACAGGAAAATTCATATCCATGTCCGCTAGAATCGGATACGCATACGAATATACATGTGGATACAACAAATACGTGAAAACCAGATAATATTAAAAAAATAGTTCATATGATACAAGAGAGTTCATTAATATGTAATTATGTCTGAAAATCTAAGATTAGATCTCTTGATCATCAAAATTAACCTCAGATCCGTTAAAGGGATTAAAACTATTACAACTTTATGACCAACATATATTAGGATATTTTGGATACAGATACGGATATTTCAATACATATCTGTGTCCCAAACCATATCCTAGCATATATAGATTTTAGCAATCATATTTGTATCCTAACAGATATGAATATTTCCTCAAATACAGATAATTTTTTGCACACCTAGTTTTGAGCCCTTAGCCACGTTCCCATTGAAAAAGCCCGCTCAAAAGCATACGAGACACGAAACAACACTAAACCCATAGGTGACCCCCGAATTAGCCACCAAAAAAATTTTCTTTGATAATTTATATTAAGTAATTAACTTGTTGACTATTTGATGTACATAATATACTACATGTTAGTTCATCACACTAGAATGTGTATAGTAGTTTGTTAATATTGTGTGATTGAATGTAAGTATTGTTACATATCTACTTCATGCTTAGGCTCTCTACAAACGTCACATCTGCATTTGCATAATTTTTTCTCTAATATTTGATTGTTTTGTTAGTTTCAGATGTTTTTCCTCATTCTTTTCTTATTTTTTTAACCTTTTGTCCCCATTTAAAAAGTTAAAAATAAAAAAATAGACCTGATGCTTTTTCCTGCTTAAGCTTTGCTTAAGCGCAAAAGTCTGAGTAGTACCTTAACAATTCACTCAACTTTCTACAACCTTGAATCACATAAAAATGCTCTAAGATGCTCAGATTAATATAACAAACCATGTAATACCTGTGTTCCTCTAATTGCAAAAGTGATATTCACTCATGAGAGAATAACTCACCCAATTGTCACTATTTTTCAGACCATTGAAAAGTGACAGGTTCCATCATCAGGAAATTAATTCATCAGACAGAAAGCAAATACATATTAACACTTGAACAGTTCTTCGAAACAACATATAACATTTGAGGATGAAAATCCTGACCTCATAGTCTGTCTTCCCAACATTTTCTGAGGAAGCACCATTTTCTTTTAACCCAGCATCCTTTAACTGAAATTTAAAATTGAATGTAAGAGTGGATGAAGTAATAAATCTCTAATAGGAAAGGAAAATAATTTTCATAATATGTCAAATAGTCCATAGCTGAGATAATTAGTCCAAAGACAAAGTAATTTCAACATTCTACAAGTTGAAATCCAGAAAATTTGAGTCTGTCAAAAATAAAAAATGCAGATCAAAAAGTGTAAAGCATAAATGTCAGAATAAAAGATACCAAAGAGACTTTCTGGACAAAGAAAACATTAACAATGTCACATTTTCACTCATCACCCACCAAGAATATATTTATGCATACGAAACATGTCAATGTTCTTAAAAAATATACTTTCTTATCAACTGTTTGCCACAAGCAACAAAAAAAGAATTGACAACCAGTCTACTATTTCTGGAGGTGGAACTAAGAATCAACTAGGACACAGACAGCAGACCTATGGTGTCGGACATGGTAATTCTTAAAATCCAGATGAAGGACATAAGGCATCAGACATGGCTACACACATGCACGCACATATTGGCTTCTGTTTGAATATAAAAGAAAATAAATTTAAAAAGGTGCGCCTAATGAACAAACAGTTAAATGCTTAACACATTATAGCTACTACAAGGCCAAAGGGGAATCACTCAATCTTGTGAAAATGTTTGTAAAAATGTTCGAAATAGATATAGTAATAAATGGTTTTGCACATTCAAAGAGGTGACAAAGATGCAAAAGAAAATGCGTAACTTCAATAACAGATGTAAAGGAAAATCTTGAAAGGAAACACTTCCTGCATACAATAACAAGCAAACATAATAAAATTATGACTTCCAACCCTTTTCAAGTCCAGAACGTTGTCCTTAGAAAATTGCTTCTACTGGAAAGGGGTTGTTAATATGGAACTCGCTGACCTGTACAACTAATTACAAAAGTTTTATACTATCGTCTATCATTATGGGTTCATATGTTATTGTCACTCTAAAATGTGCACCTCTTTAGCCTAAAATTCACCACTGAAGGTTAGAACTTAGAATATACCACGAAATGAAGTTGTCGTCATCGTCATCATCTAAGCCTTTTTCCTCAAAATACTTCCATTATGAAGAATGATAAAGATTACAATTTCCCAAAAAAGGGGTAAAGATTAGAAGGCCTATAAAAAGAATTAACCAAGTTTTGTGTCTTACGTCAAATTGAAATTAACCCCGATAAACTCTTGCCCAATGAAATAAGCAAGGAAATGTAAGGATTTATCCTTGGACTCAACAAAGGTGACTTTTACTGGAAAGAAACAAATTACAGACGACGTTCAATTCCAATTTGAAAGAGGACTAGGTTTTGAGTAGTCCAAGTCAAAGAAGGAATCCTACAAGAACTGGAAATAGGAGAAAATATCTACTCCTTGAAAGATTCATTTTAGGCAAAGAAACGAAAAGAAAAAAAATAGAAATTGCTGCGAAATTGTATGATAGGCTGAATAGGGTGTACAAAAGTAACAAAAGGGAAATCCTATAGTTTGAGAGTGGATTTTGTGAGATCAAAAGAAGGATTTTCGTGGAATTCTCGTATAAAAAATCGACTCTGTTCTATCTTTGTGGACGTAGACAAAGTGCCAAACCTCATAACATCCTTTTCTCTGTGATTGCTGATCTTATTTCCCGCTAAACTGTAATTGAGTTTCTACTTGTGGTCAGATTTCACAAAAAGGAAGGTTTGTTACCTAACTAACAAGTGGGTGGTATAAATTTTTTGATCTTGTAGTTTAAGGACAACTAGGCAAGGAGCAATCTTCTACACTTCTAAATCCAAGAAAATGGTCTGGGAAAAGAAGTAGATGATATAATGTGTCATAACAAGAATCATTTAACTCTGAGGAGAAAAAGTTACAGATATAATGTAATCAGAATTCTAATCTAATTAAAAGACAATTCTTTAAATTCCCAGGCATCCATACCGACACCTACACCCTTTCTATTTTTGGAAGGAAAGACCGTTTTGGCTGCAACTACCAAACATGCATTAGAAAATAAGGCAGCCATTAAATCTCTGCAATGTTACTATAGCAATCTTGATATAAGAATTTATTACAGAAGCAACTCCAAAGGTTTAATAACCTAAAATGAAGTATATTAGGTTATTTAACTTTTTTTGCACAGATCTAGGACAAAACATTGAAGTAAACCAAGTGCGAAAAGAATAAACGTGGCTTGCAGTCAAAATAGGAATAGTAACATACTCCACAGAGGAAGCTTGAGTACTGTAAGTGAAAGACGATCCAGTAGGTTATTTAACTTTTTTTGCACAGATCTAGGACAAAACATTGAAGTAAACCAAGTGCGAAAAGAATAAACGTGGCTTGCAGTCAAAATAGGAATAGTAACATACTCCACAGAGGAAGCTTGAGTACTGTAAGTGAAAGACGATCCAGGA